ATAAGCCAAATTGATCAAAATAGCCTAGTACAAACCAACAATAAAAACATAATTTGGAACTGATCATCAACTCATCGTTATATTAAACTATTTCTATTTTAATAATACTTAAGCTTGAATGCAGCCATATTCAAACTTAACAATGTGTCCTTATTTAAATAAAAGTTATGATATTTTTGTCATTTGCAAGAATCAGCTTGAACGCAAAGTTCTACACCAAAGAACGAACTTATTGTATTTATATGTATTTAAATGTTTTTTTTAGCAATTAGTAATATATTTTGTGATTTTTTGCAACTTAAGTGAATCGAAAACCAAAATGTGTATACCATAAAACTAACTGAACATTGTGAACGATGACTAATAAAAAATAGAAGCGAAAATTAACGGCAAATAAATGTGATAAGCACTGGCAAGTGAATTTTGGAATTTTTTCAGGATTATTAGCAGTTAATTTTTAGATCGGTGAACCCCATTAGGAGTTGTCTATTACCGGAGCAGCTGCGTTGCTCCAAATCCTTCGGGTTAGGGCGGGTATGAAGCCCAAGCCCGGACCAGGAGATTATCTCAGCAGCGTCTGCCAAAAAGTCTCCAATCGAGCTCCACGTCGGTTAGGTGTGGCACCTGGAGCGCATAGAGCCACCTTAAACCGTTCTGGTCTTCAGACGCGCCCAATAGCGCATCACCTCCTATAGAATTCAAGTCTCCTAAATTATCGTATGGGATATGAATTGGTAGTACAGATAGTTGGTTCGACATTTTTTAACAATGAACGAAGATGTCGCCACAAGAATAATGGGTAGCTGCAGCAGCTCGTCGAACACAAAAATCGCTAGCGGTGGCTTGATAAAGAGCATAACTTGGCGTTCTATGCAGTCGATAGTATTAGACAACCTACTCACGACAGCCGGTTCAAGGTACCGGAATGACTAGGGCTTTTCCCGACCAAGGGCTGTTTCCGTGACCTAACCCTGTTTATATCGGCGAACCTAAAAATCGTTTTTCGTCCATGAAGCAATACCTTGCAGCCGGGTTGCAACGCATCCTTCTCCGCGCGGGCATTGAGTCCTGCCCCAGACCAGACACCTATTTCTGCTGCGTCTGCCATAGACGACTCCATCTAAACTCCACTTCGGTTAGGTGCAACATCTGTAACGGATAGAGGAACCAGTGAACCAGCTGAGCCTATAGGTCCAGGGAGTGGACCACAACGGCACCATTTGCTTACACAACCCCCTACTCGCGAAACCCGCGGGTGCGAAGCAGTATCCAAGGCGTCCCTCGGCTCCAAGGAGCTCATATGGCCAACAACTAAACTCCCCACGTCCTCCATTGCAGCAAGCGCAACAGCACCAAGGTAGATCACCCCATCAAGGAGCATAACACAATGCTCTGCAAGCAGTTCCTAATAGGGTGCCACAGACGCGGGCACCCGAACAGACAACTACTTGCAGAAGAGACCTCACCAAGGCACGTCAGGAGGCATCTCTACGAACTGACGGATGAAGTCCAGAGGTTCAATAGCCCAACTTTGCAGTGGATACTGCAGCAGGCTAAACTCGTACCTAAACAGGGTGAATGCAGATTTGCCCAATGAGAGCCCGGCATGCGGAGGGTCGCCACATGACTCACTGCACCTCTTCGTATGCCCCC